GAGAGAGAGAGAGAGAGAGAGAGAGAGAGAGAGAGAGAGAGAGAGAGAGAGTAGGACTCTCAGAGCAGCCTAGACCTCTCTACCCATCATGCTGGTTTTGACAGTTTCTGATGGTGATTTCAGCCCAGGTAATAACAGCCAGAGTCCCCGTGTTTGGTTGGATATTGAGACACCATCTCCCTGGGGCTCGTGGTGGCCAACCCTGTGGTTTCTGCCGTTATCTCTAACCTAACAATGGCTCATTTTGGTACTTTTTCTGTACAGTGGTGCAAAAATGGAACACTTTAGTAGAAACTGCTTGGAGTTTTGAATCTGGACTTTTTTTTCTTTAATGGTAATGCATAGTACTCTCAAGGCTGAGCACAGTGGCCACAGAACCCTTCAGGCTCTGTGAACCAAAGACAAACAACCATGACTGCTGAGGGTACTTATGACCATCAAACTTGCAGTTCGGTACATCTGTTTAGTTCAGCAGAGGACTGTTTCCATCCAGGATGTCTAAGCGAAACCCCATCAGGAGTTAAACATTTACGTTGGATAGCTGTAGTCCTGGGCCTCCCAGAAACCCTGGGCTTCTTACAATAAGAAATTGGGTTTTCTTCCCTGTGCTCTGAGCTCCAGGTTGCTCAGGACTCCACAGGTGGGCGGGGCTGGACCAAGAGGGTATTCAGCTCCAGATGAGGACCTGCGTCCCAGGAGGGCATGGTGCATGCAGAGGTTTGCAACTTGGTGGGCTTTGTGTTGCATGCCAGGAGGTGTGGCCTGTGAGCCCATGGGGCTGAGGTTTCCAGGTGGGAGGCAGAGTGAGCTCCATCCTGGAAGTTTTGGAGAAGTGGCCTGGATCTAAGCAACGATCCCAGAATGGGCTGTGAAGATTGAGTAGCACCAAACCTGTGGTACCCAACCAGTGTGCCAAGGAACGTTTGGGACAGAATGGGTAGGTTTGGATGACAAAGGCAACATGAAAGAAGAGACCATGTATCCTACGGTGGTGGCCATGTGGGTTATTTTTCACCACTGACCAACCTGGGCTGACCTTTGACCTGGAAGCTTGGGACTGTACAGAGCTCCCCAAGTACTGATGAGGGACCTTTGACCTCACCAGGACATGGACAGGAGGCCACTTTGGGAGCCTGGTGGAAAATGCCCAGGTGTCAGCTGTCACTGGCACCTGTGGGTCTGGGTTAGAAAGACCTGATGCAGAGCCCTGATTCTGTCTCTAACCAGCAACCTCTTTAACTTTGTAAGAATGTGGGGATAAGGAGTCACCTAGGTTTATGCATGCAAATAATCCAGTGAAAGATAATAATGTTAACCAGGAACGGGTTGTAGGAGAATCCTCTGCCTTTCGACAGAGCAAGACTCAGTTCTGCCAGGCTTCCCCTGAAGTCTTATTGGCATCCAGCTGAGGAACTGAGCTCCTGTCCCCCAGTCAGCAGACACATCTGGGTGTCATCTCATGTTGCATAGCAACCTCTCGGAGGAGCCATCCCAACCAGGGCAGGGACACACAGGTTTCACTCTCTCTGTCATTTTACTTATGAATTTACGTCTAGAGAAATAGCTCAATAGTAGGGAGACCAATGCTAAACCGTCCCCTAAATAGACACTTACACCACACGAACCCACGAAATCTAAGTAACAATAAACACACACAGCCCGCTGACCTCCTCCACCCTGCAGCCTAGTCTCCATCTAAATTGCTGTCTGCAGCCAAGATGGGTCAGTGTGGAGGAGGTCGGCAAATGGAACTGAGAGAAAATGGCCTCGTTCAAAATGCAGCATCCTTGAGCCAGCCATTACCTGCCAGTCACAGCTGCTACCTCCATCACAAAGAGAATGGAGCACAAAAATAAGACCCAGACAATGGGCACTGAAGAGAGGGGCAAATCCCACTCAGATCTGAATGTCTGCTGTGCGAGTTAATCCCAAGGCTGATCTGGCCTTCTCCTTCCTAGGGGCAGCTTTCTGATCCCATGTCAATTACTGCACAAAGCTGCCCTCCACGAGGCGGATCCTTTTAAGTGTTTTAGTTTTTGTTCAATATTTTATATCTGCTTCTAACCCTTACTGCCAACATTTAGCTGATCCATTGAGCAGGAAACAAATTGTGTGTGTGTGTGTGTGTGTGTGTGTGTGTGTGTGTGTGTGTGTGTGTGTGGTGTGTTGAGCTGCTTGAGGCTCCTGGTACTCACATGTGTCCAGGTAGTAGGGTTTATTTCCTCTAAGAAAGGATATTTGTTCCCATAGACCTCTAGACAAGGAGACGCAGGTGAGACACCTGGCAAGCCCCACCTGTTCCAGGTGGGCTGTGGGTAGAGGTGCTGGTGTGGGTGGAACCAGATGTAAGGTGCCACCGGGAACAGAAACGGTCCAAGTATATCATTGCTGGTGAAGACCTAGCTGCATATTTTGAACAGGGAGGATGGGTTTATATACTAAATACATCTGGTATCTAAAGGGAAGGTGAGCATACAGTTAGTGCCACCCTCATTCTGCCTGGTTATCTGGTAACTAGGTACAAAGCTGGCATCTATCTGGGCTCCTCTCACACAGGGCTTCCCAACAAGCTGGTATGGTCAAGCAGAACCTCCTTATAGCAGAGGTGCATGTGTTTTGGACCTTGCCTTGCTTGTGATTGGGACAAGAGAACATGGGCCAGCTTCCCCTGGCACCAATCACACCAGTTCTGATGACCCACTGTGAGGAGGAAGCTTGATTCTAACTGTGGTGAACATTGCCAGAGCCGGTGGGACCCTGTGGTCCCATGCTTCCAGACATCTTTGCTTTGTTTTGTTTAGTTTGCTTTTAAAAGCAAAACCTATAATTTTTTAGACCCTACTATGTGGGGGACGATACCTGAGGACCGACACCCAAGGTTATCCTCTGACCTCCACATATATGCATACGTGTACACATATGCCCCCCACATGTGTACCTGCACACACATGACCGTGCATAGACACAGAGAATTCAGATGTATACACTTCACTGAGAAGCCTTAAGCTGCAGAGCACTGCGGAACACGGATTTCAAGTGGGACGCTATTCGGGAGGTGCTGCTGCTCTCCTGATGGCTCTCCTCTCAGAATAAACTGAGGAGTGCGGTTTGCCTGTATGGACCAGGCGGCTGAGATGCCGCAGCCCATGGGATCTGTTACACACAGGGAGTTCCCTGAGCTCCGCCTTCACCCAGCGTTGCTAGGGATGCCCCCTGAGGTGGAGCAGAGGTGAGGAAGGAGCCCTCAGCTGGAGCCAGAACAGGTTCCCCCTTGTGGATCCACATAGCCTGTGCTCCTGTCCCAGGGCCCCTTTGCCCAAGAGTCAGAAAAAGAGTTGGTGAGTTTCTGGTGACTAGCAACCCGAGATGGGTCAGTGGGCGGCAGCACCACAGCTGCCTTTGCTAAGTTGTTTGACACTTGTTGAGTAGTGTGTCATGAACAGCTCTGGTTCTGGTTCACGGTCCCTGTGTATAGCCCAGCCCGATCGGTGTAATAAACTGGACACTAGAACAAAGTCCCAGGTAGATCCTTCACACAGGCCATGTCTACAGTCTGGGGCCACTGCTGCATGTGATCCTTTTCCTGCCGTGGCAGAGGAGGTGACAGGCTGTGCTGGCACTGCTCTGAGGGCAAGGCTGCTGAGGGGGTGGCTGTGAATCTCTTGCTCTCTGTGTTTCTGCTCACAGCCCAGCTAGCACCCAGCCTAGAATTCCAGGAAGCATGCTGGGTTCCTGGCTGAGTGGTAGAGACTCTTCTGACCTGCCCTGTGTGATTGAAAGCATCATCTTCTTGCCTACACCATTCAAAGCCAGAGGCTTTCACAGAAGGCATGGCCATAAGCCTCAAGGGCCCTATGTCCTCCGTTCAGTGAATTCCTCAGAGACTGACAGAATGAAAGGAGGAGGTGCTGCTTGGCTCCTGAGGGAAAGGAAGCCAGTCCAGTCACAGCAGATCTTGAGGAAGAAGTGTGTCAGAGGGTGGGAAGCACCACCTCAGAGCATGGTGTTGGGAAGAGGCCACTTTGCTCAGTCTGTCCCCAATGCTCTACTCATGCTTCACCTGTGAAGGAGGCTGAAGCCAACAGGTCTATTGTATGGGAAGCCTTCCCTGTCTGGGGCTCCCAGGGGCAGGACTAGTCCCTTGGCAGGAGTATCAAGGAATGAGGCTGTGACAGGACTGTGGTGACTTCACCAGCCTTTTCTCTACACCTTCAAGACCTGATGAGGTCAGCTCATTCTTGGCTTCAGGACTATCAACGACCACAGCTGAGGTTGGTGGATTCTGGCCCATTAACATCCACTTGATTTTATTGGAACCAGTGTTACAGCTCTAATAGTCTTTCTGGGCTGTTATGGAATGTACAAACTGGAATGTCAAACCATAAGCCCCTGGATTCCCTCGCAGCCTGGTGGTGAAGGCCAAGGCCATGGTGCATTGCAGATTGACCGTCCTCTACCTCTCTTTCCTTCCTCCCCTCACTCACTGGGCATCTTTTCACCGATAACTTCTGTGGCTCAGGATGGCAGACATCTCCTTCCCGATGCCTGCTGTGCTCTAACAAAGAGAAGGGCATTTAAAATTCTAGAAACCAAGAGATGTCAGCAAATCAGAGGAAAGTGACAGATATGGGTGAGGCAAATTTTTTACTTGGGAGAAGCGTGTCTGAAATGAAGCGCGTGGGTATTGGCGAAGCAGTGGGGAGGGGGTCTCCAGTGCTCGACGATTGTTTATGTCAAATTAACTTATTAAAATGGAATATTCTCAACACAGCTATGTTATAAGAATAGCTTATAACATAGCTGTGTGGATTGTAGCCAGCCTTGAATGTAGTTCACTTTGGTAGAATTAGAGATGATTTTTCTCCTCTATCTTTAGAAATTACTAAAAAAATTTAAATTCCCTACAAGGACTAAATAACTAGGAAAACTAATAAAATATATGCTTATAGCTAACTCTGACCTTGTTTTATTGTCCAAACATTAAGGACTTTCAGTGCAGACATCCAAGGAGAGAGAATTAAGTCAGGGCAGTGGAGGAAAACTAATTTCCCTTCAAGCCGCCATTGTTTCGGCTGGTGGGGAGGCTTCCCTGAGGAGAGCGAACCCTGGCAAGGAGGAGCAAGGAGGCTGAGGGTGGTGGTGTCTATCTCTGCTGAATAAAGAGGGCAGCAGCCAAGGGGGAGGTTTGCTTGGGCACTGAGTGGGGACCCCACTAAGCCTCCACTCACAGAGGCCTGTGCTGACAATACTCGGTCCTATGTGGTTTCTACCTACACAGCATAAAATCTCTGCTTTAGACGTTTATACTGATTTCCTTGGTCTATTTCTGCCATGCTCTTGAATTTGTCCAAGTGGCTTTGGGACCTCATCAATAACACCAGAAGTCACTATATCATGATGCTTATATACCCCGAAGCCTCGGTGCATGTTTTTCCTTTCTGCCCATTGTCTTCCATGGGTAGATGAGTGTTTTGTGACATTAAAGTGTAGCTGACTCTCAGACCCCTTTCCCCAAGGGGAATCAAGACCCTTAGATAGTCAACCCCCTGGCATGAGACACTGCTGTTTGCATAGAACCTACACACATCATCCTGTGTGCTTATTACTTTTAAGTTATGATACCGAATGGAATGTAAATACTCTGCAAATTGTCTCTTACTGCATAGCTTACGTAATTACAAGAGGAAATCTGTATATGTTCAATATAGATGTATTTACAAAAAGCCCTGGTTGGATGGGCAGACATGTAGATGCTGTAGTGTGAAGTGCCAGTCCAGTGTTGCCTAAAGGAAGCAGACTGGTAGAACAGGGTGAAGGACTGGCATTGTATTGAATGACATTAAAGGAAGGGAAGGGTGGAGCTGGCTGTGGTATGCCCTCAGCAGTGCTGAGCATGGCAGACACCACCTGCTCAACCCTTGCTATAAGAGCGATGGGTTCCAGCTCCAGGTGCCTCTGGAAGGATGAGGCCCAATGAAGACACCTCTGGAATTAATAGGTGAAGAAGAGACATCTGGATGGTAGCCTGGATTGGAGGGTCCTGGACTGTGAGCCTCCTGGACACTGACTCCTTTTAGCTGTGTACAGCTGAAGTACAGAATTCTGCAAACACAGGCCTCCCATGCCTGGGCAAACAGGCTGAGATGGTGGCAGTGAGACAGGCCTGTGTCAGGTATGCTGAGGCTGCAGTACACATACCATACATGAAGGCAAGACACTTATACACTACACGCCAAAAATATATTTAAGTCGAATATACAATATTCTGTTTTTCCTTCATATTCTTAAAGAGAAACAAACCGAGTGGGAACAATTTCTGACATACCTCATCGTGGTGTTAAACCAGACTGGGGAAGGAAATACCAAGATTAAGGAAAGATATTATTTTTCTGAAATTTGTTCCCAAGACCAAGGTACACTCACATGAGACACTGCCCATGATACAGCTCCCAGCACGTTTCTAGGTTGAGCAGTGAATATGATCTAGCAGGTTTCTGCACCTCTCACAGGTACCTATGGGAGAGGTCACAACGAGACAAAATGACCCTCAATTCATAATGAGTATTAGAGACTCAGGCATCAGCCTAGAGTGGCCAGCATGGCATGCTCATTGAGGGCAGGGAATGGTTTCTAAGTCCTAATGCAAGACTTTTTCTCCCCTTTTTGAATAATAGGGGGTCAGGATACAACCTTACTTGTCACCTAGGTCTTGTCTTTTCCTCCGACACTCATGTTTGTCTTTTTCTCCACAAAAACCATGTGTGAGTTCATCTTTACATACTGTTCACTGTAAAGTTCATGCCTGACCTTGAAGGAACACTTGACTGTTATTTTCTATTCTTAAACGTCTAATGTGGGGAAGGGAGAGCTAGACTAGCAAGCCTTAGCATTTGATGTTGGCTCTATGCTTGTACATGGAGCTAAGCTGACATCAGGTTCCTCTGAAAAGGAGCCATCAGATTCTGTCTCTAACAATAGCCCATCTGAGCCTGTGAGCCGCTACCCTCTAGGTCACCTGTGTATGTGCCAGCACCAATGCCTTTCCCTCCCAACGCCGCGTGGCACTCCATCCAATACCCGAGTTACTGAGTGCCGTGCATTTCACTCAGGGAGCAATGGGACTAGTCTTTTCAATGTACTGCACCATCTGCAAACTGATCCCCATCTTGGCCTTGAGGATGAAGAAAGTTACAGAAATCTTCAAATCCAAAGCTCACTCAGCCTCAAAAAACAGGTGTGCCATGATGGCTCTCACCAACAGAAGCCTATAGATGCCAGAAATATGTGTCATCCCACACCAAGAGGGTGGGCTTGGAGACTCAGACACCGGGCCGTGAGCAGAGACTTAAAGTCTAGTTGATCTCTATACCTATCGTGACATGATACTGTACTAAGATCAAGAAGGGAAGAAAAGGCAACTTCTCTGAGTGGCCAGAGGGTATTGGTGAGCCACTCTTCAGCTGAGCCCACAGGGTCAGGTTGCCTCAGCTGCTGCCTACACATGGTGCAGACCTGAGGTGGCTCCTTCCTGAAGCACCTCCACCTGCATTTGAACTGCCCCCAGGCCCATGCTGGATGCAGTCCATCCCATGCCCTTCTTAACTTTGCTGCTTGAAGAGGGATTGAGGCATGAGCTCTGGGTCTAACTGTCCCACCGCCTATGAGCCCCTTTAGAGGGTCCCACTTCTACACCATTTCTAAAGCAGACAGCTTTTTCTGAGGGGTATTTTCTTTCCCAGGTGATTATAGGACCATTTAGATTAAGTCTTAAGGGAAGGGGCGATGGGATGGCAACCTCTGGCTACAAAGTAATCTAAGGTTGTCCTGGTTTTTGTTGTTATTGTTTTTGTCAACTTGACACAGCCAGAGGAGTCTCATTTGACAAGATGTTCCCACTGGATGGCCTGTAGGCAAGTTTGTAGGGTGTTTTCTTAATAATTGATGTAGGTGGTCCCAGTCCACAGGACCCACCCAATCCACAGGGCAAGTGCAGGTAGTCCTGGGTGGTGTAAGAAAGTTGGTTGAGCAAGCCATGGGTAGCAAGTCCGTAAGCAGTGATCCTCCATGGCCTCTGCTCCAGTTCCTGCCTCCATGTTCCTCCCTTGAGGTCCTACCCAGTCTTCTCTTAGCAATGGCATGGAACCTGTGAGTTTTAAGGTGAAGTAAACTCTCTCCTCCCCCAGTGGCTCTTGGTCATGGTATTTTATCACAGTGACCTTCCAGTTAAGAATGGCACGTCTCCACTCAGGGACAGAGATGCAACTTGGAATCAGCCAGAGTCCTGAAGTTGCCCTTCTTGGCTTCACAAGCTCCTGATGATGGGGCAAACAGTCGGTCCCCACTGACCTCTAAGTACTCTTCTGTCTGACTCTTCCCCAACACAAGCAGAGGAGGGAGCTGTGCAAAGACCCTGCCTCTGGCCTCCCACCTGTGGTAAGCCTGCTGCCTCTGGAGGCAGAAAGCCCCAGATTTCCCCCATGTCTCTCCAGAGGTTCTAGAAAGGCCTCTTTGATCTCCTCAGATGGGAATGCCAACTTTCACTAATTATCATGGCTTTCTCCTTTAACAAGCTTATTCACATTGAGCCTCACTTGTCAGAATGCACTGCATCCATTCACAAATGCACTTTCCTATAATTTCATAGCAAAAAAAAAAGAAAGAATAAGAAAAAAGTCCTTCCTGAGGCTCTACCCTGCCCTTTGCTGTGGTGTTTGTTAACAGTATTAATCCAATTTAAATGAAAATTGTCCTTTATATTGCTTCCCATATATCCACATTTTTCTCTTTAAAATTGGAAGGTTATACCAAATGCTATGTTTTTCTTTGCTGCAAAGACCAAGGGGGCTGTTTTAATACAGATTAGTGGAAGTGCAAGGCAGAGCACCGTAGGTGGTGGAACCGCTTATCATTTGCGTGATTAGTTTCACCTTGTAGCTGTGTCTCTGAAAATGCAATTAACAGTTTCATATTGAGTGCAGCTCGCTTTTATTCCTGCTGCATGGGGTGCAGCATTTACATCATAAAAAAAACTAATTGGTAAACACAGTCTTGCCAGCTCCGCTGGACCCACCCAGTTCTTCTCAGTTAATTGGCTCAGTTTCAACACACACACTGGATAGGATTTCAAAGGGTGCCACGGATTAGAGGGCTGGCAAGCACTGTGTTCACAAACCGACTCCAAGGAGACTCGGAAAAATATTTTAAATTAATGCTGATTGCAGCAATGTGCTTGTCCAATTGTTGCCATAGGAACCATTTCATCTGCTAATCTGGTGTGTGTGTGTGTGTGTGTGTGTGTGTGTGTGTGTGTGTGTGTGTGAGCGTTGGGACTCTCTAATGACCTTCATAAAGGAAGTCAGCCCTGTACCCCCTTAGTGCCTTGTCAAGCAATAGCAGAGTAAGGTCCTGCCAGAGCCTTAGCTCCTCAATATCTTACTGGCATCCACAGCTCGCCCTCCCCATTCCCAGATCACTCTGGCCTGTCCACCAGTTCCACATGTGGATGTTCAAATATGTAGAGCCTCACCCCATGAAATGCCTGCTCCAGAAGACTGGAGACAGCCCATCAGTGAGCTGTGACATTGGCAAAAATTGCCTCCCTGGAAAGTTGGGTGCTGATCCAGAGAGTGTCAGGAAAGAAAAAGCAGAAAGCAATGTGGAGTGATTCTCACTCACTCCTAGCAGAGGTAAGTCTACATGTCTACGCACAGAGAGTAAGCCAAGGATGCAGACTCTAAAAAGACCACACGATAACCTCCTCCATCTCCACAGCAGTCTCTGTCCCTGAAGCGAAGGTGACTGAGGCTGCTCAGCTGAGGCCCCTCAACCCCATTACCAGCCCCTATGTCCTGGACTCTTTGCCTACTTTGACCTAATTAGCACGGTCTAACAAGAATTAAGGGAGATGCCCCTTGAGTTTGAACATACAGATTGCCGGACTGTAATAGTTGTGTATTATCTGTTTTCAGCTCCTACAGATAGCTATCTGCTTAATTACAAGGAAAAGGAAGAAATCTTCAGATTATCTGCTAGTAGCAAAATTAGTTGTCTGTAAGATTTGTGTGTAATTAACAAATTAAGGGTTGGGGGGGTCAACAGTTCTCACCTCAAAGGAGATGAGATAGTTTATTCTAGAGCCAAATACAAGTGACCATGTCCCAGTAACACATTCTGTTTACCACAAGCTCCATCTTCTATCATGGTGATAGTATCATCATGTTTTTTATAGTAATAGAACAAAGAAGCTCATAAATCAAGATGCTTCTCAAATATCTTGGTGGTAAGAAGGGGTACAGGAAAGTCAGACTCTCAGCTGTAGGCCTCAGATGCTGTCTGATGACATTCTCAGCCTTTATTTGATGGAGGCTGAGGTCCTTGTATAGTCTGAAAGACTTACCTCATAATCACAATGGCATTAATGCACATGTTGTATTGGCTGCTTTTCTGTGGCTGTGAAAATATGATAATACACCATGACCAAGGCAACTCAGAGAAGAAAGGGTTTATTTGGAGCTTATGGCGGCAAGAGGAGAGGGTCCATGTGGCCATCTCATGCAAACTACCACACATACAAAGAAGGGCAATAAATTAAAGGATTTAAAGACAGCCTAAGGTAAATTATAATTAGGCTTTAGCATTCCAACCTCTCTATAATTGTTAAAATTCTCATCAGTTAATCAGCCTTTCAGATGGATCACAGATAGCAAAGGGAGAGTTCAGTCTGTGTGTGTGGTCGCCTCTTCCAAATAGGAAACCATTTTCCAGTGTCCCTTTGGTTAAGCTTGCCCACCTGGCCAAAGCCAATGAGCTTGGGGTGGGTGGTGGGTGGGCAGGTGGGCACCCTTGTCTGTATTTCACTTCCTTATTCCTGCTCCCAGAGAGTGACCTGTCAGCTGGTGCTGTAACTCTGTTACAGAGGAAATGGAAATCCCCCTTATTGGTTCTTATGGCCTCATCAATAAAATAATTTAGAAACATCCTTGAACATATATACAGCAGGCTACACACATGGACATCCACACCCACACTAATAAGGAAAAGGTCTTGAACTTTAGAGGGAGTTGTGGGGAGGGGTGGAGATAGTATGGAGACATCACACATGTAGGAAATACTCAAAAATTGCATTGTAAGAGAAACATCTGGCAACAGAGTCAAAAGGAATTTCAGGGAGAATTTTAGCAGGCTTTGAGAGAAAGATGGGCCAGGCAAGCTGTAAATTTTGGAATCTGCCAGGAAAGGAAAATGGAGTAGAGGAAGAGAGAAAGTTCAGACCTGTGCATTAGACCAGAACTTAGAGCAAGCAGACACCGGTAGACAAGAAACCACGTGACAAAAGGTGACAGTGGGGGTTGGGGGAGGGGCTTCAGCAACAGTGAGCAAGCCCAGAATTCCAAGGAAATTATGCTTATCTTTTGGCCAATGTTCAAAAAAAAAAAAAAAGTTTCGTTTGAAGGTGAAGGCAAGCCGTACGGCACAGGCTCCATAGTGCTGCATGAGGGAAGTGCCTGACCTGAGGAGGAGTGTGGGGGAAGGAGAAGTACTTTATCTCATTAAGGGGATAATTATTCCTCCTATCTCCTCAGTGAAGGGAATCAGCCTTCCAGAGGGGTGGTCCTTTGGCCAGGTGATTGACAGGCCCCGTTGGAGTGACTCTAGGTTTTAGCAGCTTGGATGTTATATCTCTACCCAGGGCCAGAGATGGAACTTAGTTCTATTTTTCTGACCAAGAAGAAGTAGCTGTATTTTAATAGCCTTCCATAAAGCCCAGATACCTCCACCTTTTATAGGATATTTAAATTCTAAGGAATGCAAAGTTGCTGCTTATCTTGTGCTACCGGGAATGGGAGGGTGGCCCAAAGCTTCAATAGCTGGAGGTTACCATAACAGCTACATCATGATCCATGAAGAGAGCAGATCTGAGATGCTACCCATGCCTGTTCTGATGCTCCAACTACCATTTAGGGTTTTCTGTTCCCTTGCAACAGAAGCCAGAAAACAACAGAATTGAACCAGTGGTTAAAATCTGACTAGATGTTTTCATGTTCTTTGCATCTCACTCAAGGAACTGAAATAAAAGATCACACAGATTGTAACTTCATTTAAAGCAAAGCAATAGCAAAAGTCAGCTACACTGTCAAGAATGTTAGCAGGGGATGTAGAGATGGCTCAGTGGCTAAGAGCACATACAGCTCCTGGGAAGACCTGGGTTTGGTTCTAACCAGCCACATGGGTGGGTTATAACTTCCTCAGACTCCACTTCCAGGGGATCCAGAGCCCTCTTATCTGACTTCTGTGAGCACCTGTACTCACATGGTGCACATAAACTCATGCAGGCACACACACTTACACACGTATAAAAATAATGTCTTTAAATAAAAGGCAAGTGGATGAGAGCAAGCTACATGAGTGAAAAGGTGCTTAAGGGCTTCCATTCGTGCTTGGGGCTTCCTTTTATGGAGTTCAAGAAGGGGAGCAGTTTGGTTGCTAAGGGTATAGGCTGGGTGGTTCTCTATTTGATTGACAGATTGTTCTACAACCAGTTCTGTACTGAACACTTAACCATGAGTACTCCTAGGCATAAGATGTCACAAGGAGCAGGATTCTACAGCAGATGACCCACAGACACTGATAACAGCAGATAGCCCACAGACACTGATAACAGCAGATAACTCACAGACACTGATAACAGCAGATAGCCCACAGACACTGATAACAGCAGATAGCCCACAGACACTGATAAAGGAATGATAGAAATTATATGAGGGTGAACAACTCACTAAACAGAATAGGCAAGATTGTCTCAGAGTCCTTGAAGGCTGATGTTCTGCCCCACGATGTCCCTGCCTCCTGAATCAGTCGGCACCATCCAAGCCCACGAAGGAGAGCAAGCCAGGCATACATGCCCCTCAACTTAAGCTAGCCCTGAGGCCACACCCTAGGGGCTGGTAGTTCAAGGTCATAGGTGGAACAGGTACCCATGACAGGATTCCTTAAACATGTACTTTGAGGACACTTTATGCCTTTTGCATATGCATCCCCAACTATATCGAGCCAGATTGTTGTTCTTGTTTTTCATATCTAGACAAAAGTGGAGTACATCTGAATAGACGATGTGTAAGTTTGTCGTTATGGCAAGAAGAAACTTATCCCATTGTTTGACGTGGTGTGTTTGTGAAGCTCCATGCAGGTGGATAGGTGTATTTCGGTAGGAGTGGGTACACACTATGTGCCAAAAAGAATTTCAGGTTGCCAAGCGCATTGTTAAGAGGAATATGTACAAAGCTCAAACCAAATGGAGTCCCAGGTTGCCAAATTATTCCCCATGCATGCCTACCTTCCCAGAATTTATAGCTCACAACCTTAGCCCAGGTACCCACTGCTCATCCAGATGTCCTACCCCAAGATAATCAATAGGAATGTCTGCTCACACTCAGTTCAGCCTGGATTTGAGTTACTGGTCAGTATGGAAGAGCAGAAGGAGCATGAGGGAATTATAAAATTATCTGGCATAGTTAAGAGGAGAATGAGAGAAACCAAGACTGTGTGGAGGCCATTAGCATGCATATGACAGGCAGCTCTCCAGAGACAGGCTCAGAAATCCAGATGCTCTGTTGACAGGACCTAAGAGTGTTTTCCACCAGCTCATATGTGGATATTTTCCTTACTCATAAGTCCAATCAGTCAATCAATTTGTAAATAAATTATTAAATAAAATATATTCAAAGCTTTGATTAAGATTAACCAGTTATCTTGAGGAGTCATATCCTTGTAATCACAAGTGTTATTATAATTTTGATTCACTGATGTTTGTAAGCTATATACGGCATACTTCTATTACATTTAGAGTATGCTGTCTTCTTTTCTGTGGCTGCTACCAATAAGCTGCCTGGAATGTGCACACCTTGGGAAGTGCCTGGCTGGCAGAGAACTTGGATTAGGGATGAGTCACCATGGTAATGAGCATGCTATGCCTCAGAGCTGTTGTGTGTATCTTGGACAAATACACATTTTCCAATGAAGGAATTTTTAATCTCAACATGGTCAATTTATAAAGCTTTTGAAATATGAGGATTCACTTACAGTCACAACGTGGGGTTTTGTTGTTCAGGATTATTGTTCCACCTCTAAGAATCTATCACTAGAGAGGGCCTTGGAGGGTTGATAAAAAGCCCAAAAAACAATATTGTAAAAGGAGAAAGTCTCTATCAATTTTAGAAAAAAAAGTGGACATTTTAGGGTAAATGTTGCCAAATTTATATGTTCCTTGGCCTTTCTGGTCATGATGCCTGATTTTTACATCTAAAGTGGTTTTGACCAACCACTCCATTTGGAAAATGTATTCCCTATGACTTTTAGACTGGTTTAGCCACTTTGTCCATATTGCCTCTTCCAACTCAAGGCAAGAATGTGAACTTTGTCTACTATGACCAGAGCTGCACTGCCCTTCAGCAAGAACTCAGAGCAGCTGGATGGGCGTGCTCCGTGTGACCCCCAAGCCAGTTTCTCGGAGACGGAGAATGCAATGGGAAAAGGATGTGAGTGGTACGGTACTCACACTTCGATACTCACCACGTAACCATTATAAACGAGCCTTTCTGCAATATGTCAAAGCCGAGGGTTTCAGATCCTCTGTCATAAATGCAGGAAAAGGAACAGAAATAAGGATTTTGAAGATAAAAATGTGGTGGAGGGTGAACTTTTTAAACACACTGAAAGATCAGCTTATATGGCTGGGATGTGGTTCAGTGACCAAGCATTAGTAACCCATCAAAAAGACCTCAGAGACGACCGATAAGAAATTTCATTATTTATAAAAAGGAATAGATTGCAAAGCTTTTAAATTCTATGGTGTTTATATTTACATATGAGGTCAAATAAAATGCAAAAGAAGGTCAGCAGACTTAATGGTATACATGCAGGTGCTGTCAAGTGGGGACAGTGGGGGTCCCATGGACTTGAGGCTACAGTGGAGGGCCTTTCGTATTAGGGTGCTGTAGATGCTCCCTCAGCATCAGTGTGCATATTGGTGAGGGACTTGGGCCACTCTTTTCAAGGCCCCAGTGTGGCTCCCAAGAGACTGGGATCAGGTCACATAGCCCAACCCTCTCTTCCCTTCTGTTCCTACTTGTAAATCCCAGCCCACCTCAGTGAGCATTGTGTTGTTCTTAGCTCACAACCATACCTGTTTCCATGGATGTGATCCCTATCCATGACCTCAAGTTGGTCTGGACTCAACGACATTTGTGCAGGCACACAAGTCCTCCCGGGCTGGTGCGTTCTTGCAACCCATGCACATCTGTCCTCAGAGGTGCTTTAGGAGAGCAGCCAGAGGTTTGCCTGCTGTTGAATCCCTGGGAACTACCTCACATCTCGCTCTTATGGATCTTCCCGTCCTGAAAATACCATAAGGCCTGGTGGCAATGCTGCTTCCTTTGCCTCACCTAAGTATTTGTACAAGGCTTCAAATGACTTGTATGTGTGGGGGCATGTAGAGGCCAGACATCGGAATTGGTTAATCAATAATTCATTGTGTGCATGCGTGCGTGCGTGTGTGCATGCATGCATGTGTGCGTGTGTGTGACCACTGGCTGCTCATGGCAGCAGGCTCAACACAGTGGAAATAATGCCTGCACCGTCATTTCAGCTGATGTTTTTCCAGAACATTCCCCTGCTGACATTAAGCCTGCAGGGTGAGCTGTGTCTACTGCCCTTAGGATTGGGTACAGAGGTGTATTCCAACCGATCTCCTTACAACCATTAAGTTTTAGTCGAGCTTTGGCTCCATGGCATAGCATCTACCTAGTATGTGAGAGGCTTAAGTTTGAAATCTAGTACCACAAAAAGAGAGACAGACAAATAAAATGTGAATAACGATTAAAACAAAGCAGGAGCTTTTTACAAGGAGAATCTCAAGTCCATGCTTTTCAAACTGATTGAGCATTGATTCTACCTCATCCTGCCCTCATCTGAACTTCCTCCTGTGTGACTGAACAAATGAAAGGATGGATATACTGTGCCTGTTGCCCTGAGCAGTGGGAGGTTTTGCAAGTAATAGGATGGTTTTGTTAGTACTAGCCTACAGCCCAGGCTTACCCTGTTTGAAAAAAATTTTAATGTGGAGAATATAGATGATACCTGATGTCAATCTCTGGCTTCTGAGTGCTCTCTCACACACAAGCATGTACATGTACACACACACACACACACATGCACATGCACACGCACACGCATGCACGCACACATACACACACGCACACACGCACACACGCACACACACACACACACCACACACACACACACACACACACACACACACACACACACACACACAATCACACACACATAAAATATAAATAGCATAAATACTAGAGGAAAGGCAAGAGGGCCAGAAAGTGTTTCCTTGTCATATGCAGGCAGTGGCCATGCAGGGGAGGGCCCGTGAGTATGGATAGAAAGATGGCTGCTTCCCAGAAGTGAGGTCCTCATGGAAGCCCAGACAGCAAAACCTTTGAAACTTTTCCTACATGTCCTGGTCAGCACAGACATTGTTGCCAGTGTCATATGTGGGTAAGGTAAACAGCATAATACATCCTCCTGCAGTCAAGAGGTTGGAGTCCTAGAGAAATGCATGCTATATGGGTCTTCTCAAGGTCTCTCTTCCTGTCTTGTGGAGGGTATCTTTTTCCTATATCTTTGCATGCTCCAATGAGGTATCCTTCTCTCCCCTACTATTTCCGGATCTTATGATACCACATGTTCTGTTAAGTCAAGGATATCTCAAGAGCCAAACTGTGCCTCAGTTGCCAACTTCAAGGCCTCTGCCTCCAAGTACAATTACCTGAAGGGTCTATATGGCCTTGAGCCCAATAATCTGGGGAACAGTCCCACCAACAACACAGCTCTATGCACTCACTTCTGCTTCTGAATCCCATCCCTCTAAAATATCTGCTGCCTTCTGTGCCTAGGCAACACCAGTGACCATGCCAGCAACCCCTCTGTGAGGTCACACATGTATGACCTCACCATTATGGGCACATCAAAGAGTATCCAGGTCTTCAGGTAGCTGTGTACAGCCAAGCCATGTACATGCATCCTCAGAGGCACTTTTGGGTAGCTGTTGGCTTTTCTCAGAGGCATATCCCCGGAAGGCACCTAACATACAGACCTCCTTCTCCTGGTAGGCTCCTTCATCCCTGGAAGGAGGAGGGCAGGTAGCAATGCTGCTTCCTCAGCTCTCCAAGACTCAAACACTGCAACTGTCATTTTAGCTGCTCAGTTTCCTAGCATAGTTACCTCATTGTTAAGCCTGCACGGGCTGTGTAGGGCCCCTGATTCTGGTACAAAGGTGATGGATAAATTCGGTTTCTGGCCTGTCCCCACATCACAAGCTTGAGTTGTAATATGGCTTCACAGCAGAGTGCTTTCTTAACATGCCAAAATGATTTGAACTCCATTAATACTAAACTACAAACAGACAGATGTTTAGATAGGGGTAGATAAATGGTAGGTAGGTAGGTAGATAGATGATAGATATAGATAAGATAGATAGATAGATGATAGATAGATAGATAGATAGATAGATAGATAGATAGGTAGATAGATAGATGATAGATATAGATTAGATAGATAGATAGATAGATAGATAGATAGATAGATAGATAGATAGATAGATGAGGTAGGTAGATGATAGGCATAGGTTTATAGATGATATAGATATAGAACTTCCTGTGAAGTTCCTAGGTCCACCCATCAAAGCATCTGCTTTTCCCCATCCTGTCCTCAGCTGAGCTTCCTCCCACATGGCTGAGTTAAGAATGACTGTGGTGTTGCCCCCTGTGCCACAGAGAGCGGCTGCGCAGTGGTGGGATGGTTTCATTAGCTCCGACCTGAGTTGGCACTCTTTGGCAATCACATGCTGCCTCATGGCTGGGACTATGGCTTCTTACCCACCAGTTTTCATTTCTCATGGAAGGACAACTGATAGAAAATCACAGCTGCCACTTCAGTATCGAGGAACCAGACAGCACTGGCCATGGGATAGCGCTTTTCCTCTGTGGTGACTCAGTTTGTAGCCACTGGCTAAATTACTCAGGCTCTATCCTTGCAGACATGTCTGACTTATGTCCTGAGGGAGGTTTGGGGGAGTCAAAGTCTGTGTTTGTATTGTGATGACCTCATACATGACAAGATCACTGGCTGCTGAGGGCATCGTCTCAGCATATGGTCATGAAGCGCCACATCAGCATTCTGAAAGGCCATGGCCAATACTTTCCAACATGCTGCATGTGAATACACGCTCCTACAGATCTTATTGCAGAAGTACATCCAGCCTTCCATATCTTCCAAATGGGAGATTTTAGGGAGCAAAATCAACCCTGCAGGGAACATGAATAACTGTTTCTTCTCTTGGCACTTCCTAAACCCCATGGTGTGGCAGCTGCTGGCCTTGTGTTCTCTATCAGGTAGAGGATTGATCCAGAGGGCTTGAAAGCACTTGTATTGGATTATACACAGGCACTGCATCTCTTTGTGAAATAGATTTGTGCATCTTAGGAGTTCAGTATCCTGGGGATCCTGGAACTACCTCCTGTGGCTACTGAGGGATGAGTGTGGTTGTAGTTTCAGTACTGCTTAAGAAACTGAGGTAGAAGCAGCAAATTCAAGATCATCAGTACTCCCAGATAGAGCATTCCCACATCTCCCGGGAGAGCAAACACCTGCATTGTGAAACATGCCTTCATCCTGTTCTTGCCTCTGAGCCTGCAGGGGTCTCCATGGACTCCGGGAGCCTTGTGATGCTCACACGACTCCTTTGAAAGAAGCTTCCAGTCATTTGCCTTTACTACTCTGGGTTCTGGCTCTGGGTTTGTGGCTATGCGAGGTTCTACAACTTGGTGAAATTTCTGGGATTCAGACTTTTCATTCACAGACAGGTACCCTAAAAGTCATTTCTCAGGGTTGCTGTGAACAAGCCTGAAGTATGATTCCCACTGTGCTATAAAGTACATGGTTATGCCAACTCATTGTGGGAAGGGTCACAATAGAAAGGCACTAGTGTTCACATGGCATGTGTCTCGGGGTCTGGCAGATGCTAAGTCAGCTCCTGAGATGTGCTTTGAGACCCTCCTTTCTATGAGGAATGGGTGAAGCTGCCTTGGAACCCAATCTCCCTCCACCTTTGTTATTATTTTTGAAGTAATAATGTTAACCTTTTGTTTTAATTCCCTGGTTATTCCCCTGGCTGCAGCTAGAGATTTTATCCTTTGGCAAAAGAAAGCAGTTTTATTAGTGAAGCAAGCAGTTAATTAAAAAGAAAAATCAAAGGCTGGAGTTTGTTGGGGAAAACAACTGAAATCAAACGCAGCATGTCAATCTTCAGCTCCTCCCAGCCCTGGCTCAGGCAGATGGCGTGAACGCAGCGGGGACTCAGGGACACGTGAGCACATGGGTGAGCTTTTCCTCCACCCAGGGAGCACGGGAACTCCATCTCTAGGTCTGAATGTGGACCGGGTGGGTGGGACTCACCAGTTCCCCCATTGTTTGCCCAGTAGTCTAGTCCCAGATTCCCTGACATCCCCATGTCGAAAGTCCACATGAGAGCAAACACCGCACTGTATACATAGGAAAGGAATGGGAACGCGGGATCGACAACAGTGTGTAGAAATACAGGCTGGGTCTGGGAAGAGGCTTTGGCAGGGTATGTTCAGCCAAACTGACCAATGTCAGCGGGACATGAGTTGTGAAATGTTCTCGCTGTCGGCTTGAGGGCAGGTGGGGTGGGGCAGGTGAACAGGGATGGCTGCTGACCTATGCAAAACAAGAGTGCTCTGTGGTGGTCACACTGCTTGTCACCCTCTTGGCACAAAGGCATGAGAATCCTGTGGGAGTCATTAGGACACTCTGGGAAGTCAGAGAACCTGATAGAAGGATGGACAGACAGATACTTGTGGCATATGAAGGGGCACTATTGAGTCCTCAGCTTGGTTGTGTACTCTCTGTGCCTAGTGCTCATAATGGCTGCAGCTCACTGTCTTCCATGGAACCCAGATCATCTGTGACCCAAGTCAGACCTGACCTTGGCCTCAATACTCCATCACCATGAGAAGCTGGATTGTCTACCTTGAGCACAACCCTTTCTAGAGGGAGGAAAGACATAGTCTTGCCAAAACTGCCTAAAGTCTCAGAATTCAATTAAAGTGGACTTAATTTTATAATCATCTGCACTAAGCTCAAACTGTAGGCTGGTATATTAATTCACCATTGAAACTCACAGTTGCATGTGATCTAGGTTAAATGCTCCTGAGAGTTTAGGGTACAGGGAGGTGAACATTTCTGCTTTCTTGCAAGCTGGCCCAGGATTGCCCAGGACCCATAGCCTCAGGAGCCTGACTGCAGAACCTGTGTATAGCCTAGTCACTCTGACTGGCTCCAGGTGGGGATTTAGATTTTCTATACCCCCCCCCCTTCCATGCCATAAGGAAACCAAATTAATTATTTGGTCAGGCAGTCATTTTTTTTAAAGAGGTCAGGCTACTGGTCAGGAGTCAGAGCCTGGTCCCCTTGGCTTTCTGGCTTAACATTTAGCTCTCTTACCCCAAGAAAGGCTGAGTGATTGGCTCCTGGTTCTACTCTGATCTCTGGACACCACCTCTGCTCATTTCCTGGCTCCTGCCAACCATGGACTGGGCATTTGTGCTTCCTTACCAGCTGTGGGCTGTCTCCTCCTCACCTGTCTTCAGGCACAGTGCTGGCAGGGCTTTGCTTCCCAGGCAAAGATGTGGGTGCTGCACTCAGACCATGCTCTTCTCTTAGCAAATGCTATCCTGGGCACTTTCAGCCACTGATGAGCTTGTGTGGGCTGCCTGAGATGCAGCTACATAAAGGAGCCTGGACTGTGGGTACGGACATTAGAATTAGCGTTTGCAGCCAAACAAGGTCATCTGCCTAATTGTGTCAGGGCGTACAAGAGATGTGTCGCTGTTATCTGCAGCAAGCTTCCGCGCTGGGGCAAAGTTGTTCTGGGATAAGGACGAGGAGTCACAGCAGACCATGATAACTGAACTCCTTGATCTCTGTCTGGGTCTTCAGGGACTGAGGCTGTTAGTTGAGCAGGGCACAGTACTCAGGCATCCTTTGGGACAGTGTGCTATGCACCAAGACAGCCAAGCTCAGTAGAGCAGTGCTGGAGGCCTGTGGGTGCCTGGGTGGTTTGGGCACTGGAGTTCCTGAATCCCTGAAAGGCAGACTAGAGCAGAAAGCATTTAATTCCTAAAGTCCAAGGTCACTCAACGTCCTGATGGCACTGACTCTTCTTGTGGGGTGGGAGGGTGAGCCCTGTGATCTCTGAAGCTGTGGGAGAGGATGTGCATGTTTCATGCTCATTGTTCTTCCTGCCTCTCAACCTCCCTTACCCTCATGGAGCCCGAGGAGGGAGACCCCTGCCCCTGGGATTCTAGTTCCATCCAACGGTGGCAGGATGTTCATACCAGTCATCAGCAGCATCTTTGCCGCAAATGGCTTGTGGATATTCCCAGTGCACCATGACATCCTCACGTTCTGGGGGTGAGCCATGGTCCTTGCTTCAAATGTTTTCTGTATTGACCTGAACAGTGGACCAGGCTCTAGGCCTGACTCGTTCAAATAGGAGTCAGTACTCACACACAGTTATTCAGTCTAAATTAAGTCAAACACTCAGTTCATCAGATTGCCCACATTTCAAGTGGGTTTAGCTAGCCATGACCAGGTGGTTAGTTAAGGGACATTGAGGGACCATTTCTGATGAGAGGTCTAGCTTTGTTAGTTGGGGTGAGTTAAATGTGTGTTTGAATGTCTTCAAGGATAGAAAGTAATAAAAAGAATGAGAAGAGTGAATCACATGCTAAGTATTTCAGCCATGGCAGCCAGAGATGCCTTCACAGAAGATGGAAGCCCTGACCAAGGCCGGGTGGAGTGTCGGGGCCATAGGTTGGCATTTGCCCTATGCACGCAGTGCTGTGGTTCTGTGTGCAAGCTGTAGGCCCAGAGAAGACTGATAGGAGGGCAAATGCCGGGGCCTGTGGCTCTGCCAAGGAGCATCACTCCCACTTACCTCCACACTGAGAACCTGGGTGAGTCAGGACAAGCCATTGTACGCTAGGAGCTGCTGCAACAATCACCAACCACTTATAAAGCACTGTGTGCACAGGAAATAAACTTTTCTGAACTGCTGGGGTCCTTTCTGTAAGTCAGTCATAAAATGTGGTCCTATGAACCAAACCTCAGAGTATCGGGTTAAGCAGATGACCCATCAGCATCTCAGACTCCCTCCATACAGACACAGCCTTGGGATGTCAGAATCTGCCGGGTGGAGAACAGTCATGAGATGCTGCTCCCCAGGCATATGCTACACCAAACTGGTGACTTTTGAGCCAAGAACTTCAGTAATCTCTCCATTTCCCACAGATGCTGTGTGTGGGTCTCTTGTATCTCTAACCCTCACCAGCTTCAGTGTCTCTTTCAGAAAGGATCAGGAGGTGGCAGCTGGGAATCCAAACCTGGCCCACACCTGGGAGAAGGATAGGGACAGGTATGCAAGCCACATCAGAGACACTGGTATAGATTAGATGCATGACCCACATCACCAACACTTGAACCATCAAAGGTACACAAGTCATGGTACAGATGTATTAGCCATGTGGCAGGTGGTATGCCACGGTACAAATACAGGAGCTCTGTCACAGACATAGTAAAGGAAGTAAGCATGTCCTAGACATGTGTGCCACATCACAGATAGTGTGCCATGTCACAGATGGTAAGCTACTGTACTGATGTGGGAGCCATGCCACAGACATGCGACCCACAGTACAGATACATAAGCTGCGTGTGTCATGGTTTTCCACCCTCTGTACCTGCTCACGGAAGCTAGGCTTTGCACTTCTTATGGAACCAGCATGAATCCTGACTCATTCTCTGATGCTTTCTCCATGACTCTCCTTGGACTGGCATGAAGCACCTAGAGAACAATCTTGCCTTGCAGGTGCTCTGAAGATAGAGGTAAGGTCCCCAGGAACCAGGATGGATTAGACATATTTCATCCTTTTGAACCAAGTGGTCTGGACAATACCAGTGGGCAGGTCCCCCGTGTGACAGGAACAAGTGGAAACATTGGGGCCACCTTTCAGGGCACTCAAGCCTCAAGAGCTCATCCATGTGGGTCAGAATGCAAACCCTGCAACTGCCCCCTACCTAGGGAAGGCCTGTTGGGGCACATGACCGGCCACACTGTGGGATGGGCAGAGGCCTTCTAGAGACACTGATGGCCCACAGTCTATCCATAAAATACTTCTGACCTCCACTGAGCCATTCTGCAGGTCAGAAGGACTCAGCATGTGAACATGAAAACTTCAATTTCCACAGAAGTATTCTCTGCTGGTCAAGGGGCCAGGCACTAAGAGGAGGCTTCCTTGGTCCCAACATGGGTTTCAGCTGGCTGGGCGAAAGTGTCCCACGTGTGAAGGGACCAGCCATTGTCACTGGGTTCAAAGGAAAACAAAGCTTTCTCCACTGTGTTGCTTTCCCTGGGAAGACAAAGAAATGTCTGATTACCCCAGAGGGGCACAGACAAGAAAAGATTCTGCCCAAGACTAGCTTGGTGACCCAGTGAGTTTAATTAGCAGTCAGCCACTTGCAGGCAGCTACCCCCACCCCCAATCATACTCACACAGTGTCTTTCCTGTCAAGGAAAACATAGGTCAGTGTAGCACATGTGAGGCCCTAAGTTCAATCCCCAACATGGAAGAAAAGGAAGGGAGGAAGGAAAGAAGGAAGGAGGGGGGAGAGAGGAGAGACGAGTGTCTACCCTTCTGCCAGCGATTATTCACAACATCCTTCTTAGGCCAGGACCTCCAGGTCTTGTAAATACTCCATGTGCCTTGTGAGCCCTTCCTCCCTCCTCAAAGGAATGATAGGGGCCCAGTTTTGTGAGATTCTCCTGCCCCAATTTCACAATGGCCGAGATCCAGCCCTGCCTGGAGGATAGGGACATGAGGCAAGCACGTGACACAGCAGAACCTGCCCCTGAGAACCTGCCTGATTGGCCTTAGGGAAGGACAGCAAAGTGAGACCTTAAGGCCTGTGCATGGCCTGCAGGACACCAAACCCTGATAGCAGCAGCAGGGGACCCTTGCCAGGGCAATGTGAGCAGGCCAATGGGTTAGTCTTGCCATGGTTTTGAAAATACCTTTTTCGTTTTTGTTTTTGTTTTTGTTTTTTTTTTCTTAAACATGAACATGCCACAGTGATCATATCCCAGGAGCTGACTTTCCCTGAGCATCCGGGTTTATGTGGGTATCTTTTCCTGTCATGGCTGGAGCAATCAGCTTAGGCATGCCCACTGAAGCAGAAGCCCAAAGATACTCCCACTCTTCCTGCCCAGAACCTTGGTCAGCTCCCAGACTCAGTCTGGCACCTAAAGGTACCAATGGCATCCACAGGGCTGGCTAGCCTACCTTGTCTGAGGCATGTGTGGAAGGGCGGCTCTCCTGGCTTTCTTTCCTCCCTTTCCTCCCTCCTCCCCCCTCCCCTGCCTCCCCTTCCTTCTCTTCCTCCCTCCCATGAGACAACACAGACACAGTGCTGGGCACCTGACGTGGGATTTGAACCCTGCTGGCTGCATTCTCTTAGTCTAGTCAGGCCAGCGAGAAGACTCTACAGTCCAGCTGTGTGCTCCACAACTGAGCTATGAGCAGAGTTAGGCCCTGCCAACCCACTGTGAACTCGGCAATGCCCCTGCTCCCTCCCTGCCTGCCAGTCTGCCTCCCCCGCCCAGATGGAGGAGGACGGGTGGTAATGTCTTTTTTTAACCCTCATATTGGCTCTTAAGGCCTGAGCATCGCTGCATGAGCTGGTGTCTGGTACCCCTGAGGCTCATGCCCTGTGCCAACGGAGGCTCTCTGGGCATGTTTAGAAATTGTCCTTGGGGCTCATGTCAAGTGTAAGATCTGTTGGGTTTTATGAATACACTTTCCAGTGGCATGAATGAGTTACTCATCTGAGGCCCCTCTGAGCTCGGGTCTGCCTTGGTTAATGGATGGCTTCTTTCTGAATGACGGCTCGGTCATGTCTACCCCGTCTGTACAAAAGGGTAGCCTGCATGTTACCTCACAGATGCGGGGAAGGCTCTGCTAAGAAATGAACATTGCCTTTCAAAGCTGGGAGGCACAGAACTGGCTGTGTTTGGCAAAGCCCAGCAAAAGTTTCCCGGACTGAGAAGAAAGGGGTTGGCCAAGTTGGGAGACAGAGCTCAGAGGTGTGTGTGAGCTGCAGGTGGCCGAAAGGGGGCTGCACTGGGACTTGGCATCGGAAGTCTTGGCATGACCTGTCTGCCAACCCTCCCCTGTCGCTGGAGTCGGATGCTTGATGCTGTGTGGCCCTGGTGTGACAAGAGCACCTCTTTCCAGTTCTCAGGCACTGGGAGTTGAAGCCACACCTGCCCCTTGGTCTTCACCCGATCTGTCTGTGGGGCCTGTCCTGGGAGAACAGGTGTGGGTGTAATAACACAGAGGAGCTAGAGACCAGAGACCCCTGAGGATGGCGGACCCTTCTTCTCAGCACGGGCTTTTTCTATGTGGGAGTGGAGCCGCCGTCATCACCGGCAGCCCTCTGACCCAGCACTGACACAGACGAGTCAGGCAGCCTTGGGCAGAAGAGGGGGAGGCAGGGAACCCCTCCTGCCTCTAGCACAGCTGAGTTGGAAACCAAGCAGGATTCCACTCACTTTGGAATGAGTCCTTCCTAGAAAGGAGCCCCTGTCCTCCCCCAACTGTGCCCCAAGCTCTACAGTAAGAGCTGCCATGTGGCCAGAGGAGAGCCCGAGGCCTCTGTTAGGAATGTTAGGAACCGAAGAAGAGTCCGATGCCTGTGCATCCATCGGGCTTCGCATCTACAGTTGACCAAGGAAACCTTCTATAGGCACAAGGCTTCCCCGTATAGGACCTTCTGTGCCCACTTCCATTGTTCCTGGGCAGAAGTGATCCAGGTCAAAATGACAGGACACTGTGTCCCCAGTTAATAGCCACTCATCATCCCTATGGGTGAGAGGTTCATGTGTTCCACTTAGGCCCCAGCATGCACCATGGGGACCTAAGTGGCAAGGAGATTCCCTAACTCTCAATTCTACATGCTCTATTTTCAGCCAGACTTGATCCACATATCAAAGTGGAAGTGGACCCATGTGATTGTTTCCCAAGCATGTGACCTTCATGGTTCACTTCCCACAAGGTGAGGTTTGGGGCTAGAAATGTCAGTTCCTCCAGCAGAAGGACACAGTTCCATGGGACACTAGAGAACATGAGTATCCCACTTCAGCCTCACCAAAGCTGATGCTGCTTCCCATGGATGACCTCAAGGCTGTCTTGGCTCTTCTGGCTCAGGAACACCTGAGCTTTCTCCAGGATTGATGAACAAGGCCAGAGGATGGTAGCCTCTATAGATATTTGCCACATTAGGAAATGTCTCCTCTTCTACCTATAGATTCCTCCAAATTTAGAGTGCTTTCAAAATGCAGAGCCCTGTCTAGGATGTGGCTCAGTGAGAGATCATTTACCTGGCATTCCTAAAGGCATGGGTTCTACCGCCAGCACCACACACACACACACACACACACACACACACACACACACACACACACACAGAGAGAGAGAGAGAGAGAGAGAGAGAGAGAGAGAGACCCTTAGTAAACAAACACTACTTATTGATAACCACTCACTTGCTTCAATCAATCTTAATATCAAACCCAGGCAGCACTGGGTGAATGGGAATTTCAAGTAATGGAAATAGATGGGCGCTTTTGAGTAGTGTGGACTTAACAGACAGGCAGAGACTGCAGTGAGAAAAGTGTGTGAGGTCTGTGAGGGGAGATGTGTGGTAGATGGATCCTTATCTGAATTCTGTCCTGTTCTACTGTCAACCCACAGTGACAACAGCCAAGATGCCCCGCCCCTCTGTTTCTATGGAGAAAACGGGACTAGCTGAACTCCACGGCAGTCATTTGCCTCCAATTTCCACGTCCTCCAAACCTCACCTATAGCTTCACCTAGCGCCTGATGGTGGAACCTTCTGGGTGCCTATCACATGACAGGCGCTCACAGGATGCAGATACATTGTCCACATTCAGGGAGGAGCATTCCCATGATGTCCACTTGACACTGGGGCTGTGGATTATAACCTTTGGTGCCATCTCTGACCCCCAAAGTGATCCATATCCTTTCCTGCCCCTGCCACCCTCAGGGCCAGGTTGTCTGCACTCTCTCTCCTCTCCCCAGGGCTGCAGCACCCACCATGTCTCAGGTTAGCTCTATGGGCTCCTAGTCAGACCGTATCTTTACAGTGCTCTCCGACGAGACCACAGATGCAGGCTGGGCCACAGATCATCCACTTGAGGAACAGGCTCCCTGCTTCCAAATCTTATTCTCAGTATTTGGATACTTCCACCTTCCTCGTGTCTTCTCAGGAACAGGCTTGCCCTACAGTTTATGGATGGTGTGCCTGCTGTGTGGTATAGAGAATGTTGGAGGAACAGGAGGGTAGAGCTTGAGCGACGACAGGGACAAACCTCGGGGTGACCGACTCCCCCATCTCTCTCCTGCTGAGGGTCTGCAGCATGCTGTGTTTCTCTGCATCGTGCCGCTGTGTGTCACTCTCTCATTTCTTCCCCATTTGAGTGATGCAGTGCGATGTGGCCAATGACAAGTAGAACAAATCCTGGTGATGAGGGCACCTTGGGCCTGCATTATATCTGACTGCTGTTTTCCATAGAAATTATTTGTGAAAGCATGTCACGTGCTCAGAATCATGTCTGTCTTCTTCCCAGTGCGTGCACTGATGGGCAGATAAGTTCTGACTTGCCAGACAGGAATGGTGTGGCCCGACCTCTCTAGTTAGGCAACAAATTGGCCTGTGAAGAAGCAGCCTCTGCTTTCATGGCAGAGGAGACGGGAGAGAAACAGCTGTACTGCCTTATGCAGAGCTTACTGCTGAAGGTTTAACCGCAAACAGAGCTCCCAACACCTCACGGCACTATGCGTTTCCAAAGGGAGGGCTGAGGTGGGGGGGGGGGCTGTCATGTTGCCAGAGTCACGGGAAGGGTTGCCATGAGAGGCAGTTGGCTGACAAAGTGATTGGTGCAAAGGGAAGCTGTCAGGGCATTGGTGGGTGGCAGACTTGAAAACGTAAGAGCAATGTCCTCCTTGCTCCACCTCATAGCCCTGGAGATGGGTTCCAGGGTCCCCAGGGAACCAAAATCTGCAGGCACTTAAGGCTATGAGCACACAGAATGGTGTAATCCCCCCATTCTGAGCATCTCCAGGTGACTGAGAATAGAAGCTAAAAGTGCTACGCAATTAGTAGCTCTTTGTCATGGTTTAAGGGCCAATGACAAAGATAACCACACACTTGCTACAGGCACTTTTTCCTAATACTTTCCCTTTTCTACTTCTGTGTGTGTGTGTGTGTGTGTGTGTGTGTGTGTGTGTGTGTGTGTGTGTGCATGTTTTTGCATGTGTTTGAGTACACATGTACGGGCATGTATGCACATGGAGACCCGAGGCTCCTTAACCTTATTCACCGAAGCAGTGTCTTTCAAACCCAGAGCTTACTGGTATGGTTAGTTAATGTGGCAATTCCATGGAGTCTGTCTGTCTGATAGTTCCCTGAAGAACTTTGCCTTGATCCGCAGAATCCGCATCAGGCATCCAAGACCACGAGGTAGTCAAGAGAGAGAGCATCTACTCATTCCAGGTCTTAAGGGGTCCCCCCTGGGCCACACCTGCGGAGGCAGCTGCCTAGCAGTTACCTGCCGCCTACTAGGGGCAGTGCTTCAGGGTAAAGCCCAGATAACCCCTCTACAGTTAGTCTTATGAGACAGCTAGCTCTGGGGACCCCCGGTCTCACCTAGAATTTAGAGTTTGGGGGTCTGGACTCTGGTCCTTCCTCACCTTTGTAAGCACATCAACCACTGAGCCACCTCTTGGGTCATTTTTCTAATATTTTTGGCCTGCCTGGGCTGAATCCACGGGTGATGAACCCACGGATCCAAGGGTGAGTGGCAGTCGGCTAGAGTACTATGGAGTTTGTTCCTTGAGATGGACAAAGAATTTTATGTTCTGTAAAGAAGACCCATGCAGGCAGGAAAGTGAAGTCACAGTTGGAGAGTGAGAGGCCACTGACAGGCTGTGACACTTAGGGACCTGAGGTGGGGATGTCAGAATGGCAGGTACCACTGCCTTGAGAGTGAAAGTAGAGATCTGGGGGTCCCAGACACAAAATAACCATTAGGGATTCTGAGACAGAATGTTAAAGCAGCCTCCACCTGCCCGTGAGTGAGTGTGGGATCTTGAGTGTTCCAGACAAAAATCTTGGTTCTATATCTGAGGTGGGGACTCTAAAGCCAGTGTCACCCACCCCAGGGTAAAAATAGAGATCCTGAGGGTCCTGGACACAAGTTACAGGTTGTGAGGAACAGAGGACCACCAGCCAAAGAGAAAAAGAAAAAAAAAAACCCAACCAACTATTAGAACAGACAAACAGCATCAGTGGGAGGGGAGGGGAATCCCGGAGGTTCGAGTCCACCAGGGCTCCTAGGAGTCCTTCAGCACCAGACACCATCTCTTGCCTGGGGTATTCCCTCTTGGCTAGACTCTTTTCTCCACGGCCAGCCATTATGTAACAGTTACTCCTGGGGGTAGACAATCCCAGAAGCAAGGGGCAGCCCTTCTTAAAGGTGCCAGTCCCTGTTTCATAGATCAGCCCTACCTCTCCTTCAGTTTTTTTTTTAAACTTGCCCAACCATATCCCATTGGCACAAAGCAAGTATTCTGGATGACTACCTGATCCTGTGAGTTTGATGACTTAATGACTCCACTTAGGGAATGTGAACAGTCAAAACACATGTCATGTTACAGTTATGGGGGGCTATTTTTGAGAGAGAAGAGGACCATAAGTGGAAAATCTAGAATTTGACTTTGCCTCTGCATTCAGGAAGGTGATCCATTGGACCCATGGACATCTCAGACCACATCTGAAGGAAGAGGACTAGCAGACCTTGTTGGGCCTGAGTGCAAACTCTCTCCTGAGTAGTGAGGATGCATATTCTTGGAACATCCATTCTACATTCCTCACGCATTCCTATGGTTCTGAATTTTCCCTGCTTAAACATTCCAGCCTCTTCCCTGCTCCTGAAATAATGACCGACTTTATGTTCTACCCAAGATAGGGTGGTCTTTTCTAATGCATGTGTTCTCTGAGGTGGTCCATTCGAGTTGTCCTGCAATCCCTAGGCTTGTAGGCTTGATCCTGCCTGAGCAGATCCTTACTACAAAGAGAGGGTACAGCTGTGGGGTCCACTAGTTCTCTGAGCCAAGTCTTGGATACCCACCAGAGAACCTGTGTCTGCTGGAACCTGTGGCTGGAGTACAGTTGGGGTGAGAGCGACGGGTCCAGTCCTAGAAATATCTCCCTGGAGGGTGAGTGTGGTGGGTGCTGCTCCAGGTAAACAAAGGTATGAGTGTGCCAAAGAGGCTCCCAGAATCATTCAGACCTCAAAATAAGATTACTCCTATGACGCTTTCAGGTTCACTGGATCTTGTTCAATCTAGCCTACAAGATGAGGTTGGTTTGGGGATGTGGATGGGACACCAGCTCACACCTAAGCAACTGGACCAGTTGCAGGGCAGAGTTCTTGGGACAGAGTCCCATGTTACAGTGGTCCATACAAGCTGGTCAAGTTCATGAGCCCTGTATGCAGACATTCCTGACTTCAAGTGGACCTCACAAGTACTGACTATTCCAGGCCACGGACAGTTGTCACATGGATGGTAACACAAGCAGGGATCTGACAGCTCTTGATTCCTAACATCGGCATCTGTTGGGGAAGGATTGAAGGGAGTGTCTGGGTTCATAAAAGATAAAAGAGCATTCTTAAGAACGATTCTCCTTTGTATGTGATCAAAGTGGTCCTGCTCTGTTTTAGCCAGACATCCGTGCCAGAGACCTTGATAGGCACAGGAGCAGAGAGAAAGTCAGGATAAGAACCCATACAATGGGGCTCAAAGGAAAGGTCTCCTTGAGGACTTTGATCAGAAACAAATCTCTAGGCCAGAGTAGGGAGCACCCCATCTCTCTCTCTCCCTTCGGGAGCTCCCTGCCTGACCTCTGAGAGAATTTGTTGGAACCTGGCTAGACGGGCAATGTGAGATACTAGCCAGACAGCCTAGAGGCCATTCAGCAGGGCTTTCCAAGGAGAGGCCTGTATACAAAGCCTCAAAGGGAGTCAGTCCTAGGGGCTCAGAGGTACCCCTTAGTCACACCAAAACCAATGACAGCAACTTCTTCTGGGAGTTTGAGCCTCCTCCATCAATTTAATGAGATGTCTTTTAAGTAGGCCATTTATTCTCTCTGCTTTTCCTGAAGACTAAGGATGCCAGACACAGCGGAGGTTAAATTCTATCTCTAGGGTTTCAGAGATTCCTCAGGGACTTTTGTTTTGAAGGCTGGCTCCTTGTCAATCTACATGCTTCTAAGCATTTTAAATCTGAGAGCAATTTAATTTAAGACGGGTTTATCACCCCCTGCACTTGTTTTCTTTGGCAAAGGAAAGCTTCAGCCCATTCGATCAGTGCCCACCCATCATAGTAGCAAATGGAGTTTGGGTTGCCTGGTAAGTGGGTAAGATCTGTCAATCTTCCCCCAAATGTTTTCCCTGTCTCTGCATGCTAGAGGAGGCAAGTGATTGCTACAGGGATAAATCTTTTGACAGTCTCTGCATCACTAAACTATCTGGGTTATATTCTGATATTCTCTCTCTACAATCATTTCTTTAAGCTGGACTTCCCTTTTCCAGATGGTACACTGGGTGGAGGGATTTAAACATTTTTCAGTATAGGGACTGAGGCAACCACAGATGACCCATCGGTGGTGACCCACCACCTACGATGATTCAGGCTGCTGACTCGTTCTTGGGCCTCCTCGGGTGTCTTGAGGGGAGTGTAACAAGGCCTTGCAGAGGTGAGATAGCATCTCCCCATAGAAGAGGAAACATTTCTTCTATCTAAGGTGCCAATGCCTTGGCAGTTATGTTTTCTACATGTTTACCCAGAAGTCCTCTCCCTTCTCAGGCACTCAGCAGTGTGTGACTACAATCTCCAGGGGAAGCAGAACTTCATCTAGTAAGTCCAAGGTCTCATCTGCGTTGGCCAGTAATTCCTTCTCCTTCCAGATGGCAGCATGGGCATGAAGTATCCAGCATGTATGTTTGGATTCTGTATAAATATTTACCAGTTATCCTTTACTAAGAGTCAAAGCCCTCGTTAGGGAAATAACCTTTTCCAGTTGAGCCCTGGTGTTAACTTGGAGAGGGTTAAGCTCAGTCTCAAATTTGGTTACTAAGACATATTCGGCTCTCCAAGCTTCACCCTGTACAAATGAATCCCCACTGATACACAATTGGAGATTGAAATTTCCCAAGGGTTGATCTCTAAGATCAGATCTGGCAGTGCAGGTTTCTATCAAGACCTCAGCAGAGTGTTCAAGATATGATTCCCCATCTGGAACAGGAGTAGGACAGACCTTCAGGGCCACTTCAGGCCACTCTACTGAGAAAGCCTGATGTTTTACCTACTGTGGTCTGATAGCGAAAAGGGCCCCTTGGAACTGTGTGCCAAAGATGTCACGGGGGCCTTGTACCGTCAGGAGTTTCCCTGGCTCAGTGCCTTAGGGTCCAGAAGTCCCACTGTTACAATTGACCTCTAACATCCCTTTTACCCCTTAGCTACATGTTTCCCCAAAACTTAGGCCCCCCTACTCTCCATAACCCCCAAAGAAAATAAAAGAGTAGCTGACTAAAAGAGTTGCCATCCTAACCATGCCCATGAGTTTTCTCAGGTCTCAGAGTCCTCCACTGTGATCTCCAGTCAGTTATATACGTAGACCTTAAGTAGAGTTCTTCAAATCCCAGTAGTGTGAGAGGTCTTTAGTTCCTGGATGAGCCCCCACAAATGTTGAGGGGGGTCTCGGGTGAGTGGTGGCTGTCTAGAGGTAGTGCTGAGTTTGTTCCCTGTGACAGATAATGAGCTGTGCATCCTGGGAAGAAGACCCCCTCAGTAAACTGAAGTGACTGTTGGAGATTGAGGGCCACTGACAGGTTGTGATGGCCAGAGAGCTGAGGCAGGGGCATGAAAGCAGCAGCCATGAGGGAGAGAACCTGACAGGAAGTAACAGTCAGAGGTCTGAGGCCCATATGCCAAAATGTAGTCCCTCTGCCCAGAGAGTGAAAGTCGAGATCCTGAGGTCCTGTGCCTAACGTAACATTACAGATCTGAGGTAGGAACACTAACGCAGGAGGAACCTACTCTGGATATAAATAGAGACCCTGGGCCCGGATACAAAGTTACCAATACAGACCTGAGCAAAGTGGCGACCTCCAAGAGTGAATGAGATCCTGAGGGACCAGGGACACAAAGCTCCAGATTGACTGGGAACAGAGGAATACCAGTCAGAAGAGAAAAAGAAACAAATAGGTAAACTTTCTTAGAACAAACAGCTCCCAACTAGGGGACAGGAGGGGTCCCCAGAGGTGGGAGTCCTTCCGGGGCTTTCGATGGGTAAACTTAGAGTCTTCTTGGAGCCCTCCCTTACCCCGACTCCCTCTCCTCCGTGACTGGTTCTGCCCAGGGCACTCCTCCATTGGGTAAGACTCTTCCCCCTGCTCCATTCCCATTTTGTGACAGTTGTAATCGCCTGGGGAGTTGAGGGGACCAACCCCCCCCCCAACAAGGAGCAACCTTTCTTTAAGGGCTCATTCCATGTTTTCTAGATCGGCTCAAATTTCCTAGGCCTTTCTTTACCTTGACAAGGAGTGGTACAATGGGCAGCAGAGAACACTGGGATGAGCCTGTGAGGAGGCTTTAACACAGAGGGCACCAGGCCTCAGGAGAAGAGTGGCAGAGGCAGTGTCGGGAGGCAGAGCCACAGAGCTGGCTGTGAGTACTTGCAAGTACATGACGCTGGAGCCACCACAGTTTCTTTTTTTGGTTGTTGTTGTTTTTGTTTTTCAAGACAGGATTTCTCCATGTAGTTTTGGTGCCTGGATCTTGCTCTGTAGACCAGGCTGGCCTCCAAATCACAGAGATCTGCCTGGCTCTGCCTCCTGAGTGCTGGGATTAAAGGCGTGCACCACCTCTGCCTGGCTCTACCACAGGCTTTTTAGAAGGGGATAGGTACATAATCAGTCCACCCAGGGGAGATGAGGCCTGGTGGTCAGAATGCTGCTTGGGAGGAAAGGGCTACATCCCCAGGAAGAGGAGAGACTGAGCAGTGTGGTCCTGGCTGCTGGTAAAGGTGGGTACCTGTGGTAGGGTGGGAGTGGGCAGTGTGCAGGAAAGCCTAGCCCAAATGCTACAGTCACAAGAAGAGCATGTGGGGTATGTGGACAGCCAAGAGAACTTTGTCATTCTGCCTAGGTCCTTAGAGTGCTGGTCAGTCAGGGTGGCCCTGTTCAGGTCAGGGTGGTGATTTTAGGTGACAAGTCTTCTGGGAAGGTAACACCTCTCTAAATGGCCATCGTCACCTGGACACCTTCCAAATAACAGGACAGTTTCCCAAAGTGATGACATATGTTGCTGATGGCCCAACCCTGGAAGTAAAATGCTGCCATCATTTGTGCTCAGCTGGGCACGCTCAGGCAGACGTGTTCACCTCCCAGCTGCACAGGGCCTGCTGAGTCAGAAGGGAATACCTGCTTGGAGAACTTGGTACCTCATCTGTGTCCCCTTGTGAGCCTAAAGAGGCCCTGCTGCTGTTGCTCAGAGTGCTACACAGAACAAGACCACACCCCTGGCTAATGGACCTCACTGTATCCAGGCAGTTGGCGCTGACATAGGACACACACTCATCCCAGGCCAGCATCACATCGCAGAGCGAAAGGCAGCCATATTGGAAGGGTTGTGTCAGCTGGTAGCCTGTCTTCAGGCACACATGTATGCAGATATATGGATGCAACACCCCCACCCCCACCCCCAGCTACAACGCTCAGGATGGTCAGCTGGCCTGCTGAGCTATCCTCACGGGTCAAGGGACCTTTCCTGCTGTGCTGACATGCATGGCTACCGGGCCTTGTCTCTTTGAGGATAGCTAAATGTGTCCACAGACAATGCAGAGTCATCTGGACGCTCTATTAAAGCAGGATTAGCATCCCTTCCTTTCTTTTATGATCCAGTGGGTTTGGGTGGGACTCCAATTTGCATTTCTAATAGTGTGTTTCACACAGCTGCAGAAAAAAAAAAACCCAATGACATGACAAGCCACTTTTCATTTCCATCAGTACTGATTCCTACCAAGTTATCCAAAGCAGGCAGCCATTAAACTTTATAAAGCTTTCTGAGAGCTCTTTCCATCCTTGGGGAAATACACCGCATTAATAATCTAATGAGGTGTAACAAACTGCCGCAGGACCTGACAGGGGGAAACAACAAGCATCAATCTTTACCAACCTGTGGTCAGAAGTCCAGCCGCTGCCTAGTGAGATGGTTGACTCTGTGTCTCTCATCAGGCTGTGATCCTGCTGGCCTGAGCTCAGCTGGAGCTGAGTGCATGCCCAAGAGGCTCGCAACACAGGGCTCTTGGAGGCTCTGGTAAACGTCTTTGGAAGGACTCTTGTGTCAAGCAGAGCTTCCCGTGAGAAAAAATGCTTCAAGAAAGAAAGGAGTCCAGTAGGACTTCACCAGGCCTGTATGAATCAGTCTCTCATCTCATTCTGTCCATTGAACCCAGGTCCCAAAGTCCAGCCTTACACCTCAGGGAGGAGAATTCTGCCTACTTCTCATAGGGACCAACATCAAGCACAATGTGGATATCACATGGACTGGTGAAAATTAATGAAAGGGTACCATCGTCCTGGAATCCTGCTGCTGGGCTAAGAGACCTGCCATCACCACCATCACCGTAACCATCACTATCACCACCTACGTATTAGATAGGTGACCTGAAACAGATCTCGTTATTTCACAAATCTGTAAAATGTACCTATAACCATATTGCTCTTGTGGGACTTCTGTGAGTAATTTGGGATGTAAGAATTTACAGTGATGGCATCATCGTCACAATCATCGTCAACATCATGATTCCATCATCCTCATAGCGTCTTCATCTTTACCATAGTTACCACTACCACCATTATCACCATCAAAACTGTCGTCACCACCCATCATTATCAACATCTTCACATTCACTGTTACCTTTGCAATGGTCACCATGACCACTACCACCATCATCACCTTCACCATCTTCATCACCAACATCACAAATGTCACCATCACCAGCAGCAGCAGCAGCAACTATTGCTACATGGAAGTTGTCAGACAATGGGAGTTATAGACTGGTGATTTCTCCCAGGGACAACAGTGGAATAAAGATATTCTCTAAACTAATTTGTGGCTAGTACAACTTTCTTTAGGGGTGTTTCTTGGGTAATATCCTTTTAAACCTTTAAAATATTTTTCTTTTGCTTTTCTTATCCACATAGCAGGCATTCACTAGTCACCTAATGTCTACAGAGTACCATAAGTAGATTATGAATTTACTAATGACAAGAAGTATTCTACCCAGGGACCTTCACATAAGCGTGGCACACAGTGCTCTGGGATGCAGATCCATCCTGCCAGCAAACCATGAGCTCATGACCTTCCTTAGCTTTGTGTGGATGAGAAAGGAAGGTTCAGCCCTACAGAGTCCTGCACAGGCCCGGGCTATGTCTTAAGGGTTGCTTCATGGGGCATCTTAGCCTTGTGTAGAGCCTGGGAGGGAGGCTGTGGAGCAGGCAGTTCTGGCCAGGTCTTCAACCATCGAAGGTGGGACCACATCTCTGGGAGGGTCTATGACTGTGTTTCCAGAAAAGTTTAACAGAGCAAGGAAGGCTGGGTATGAATGCAAATGAGGTAAGCTGAGCATCACCTCACTGAGCCCCCGAAAGGAAACTCGATGTCACTTCATCCTTTTCCCTGTCATGATGGACAGTGCCTTCAACCATCTTCCCGAGTGTTGCTTCCTCAGGCATTTTGTCAATGAGAAAATGGATACAGGCGTGACCCACTGCTGGTCATGGAAGCTCCACTTGCTCCTAAATCAGTGTGTCCAAGTCCGTCCTCCCTTCCCAACTCACCCTCTGCTCTTGAGTTGCCATCAATACTTGAGGGCAGAAGGTTCGGTCCCATTCCCTGCACCAGCCCCAGAGTCCCTGAAATACAACCCGACAGTATGGCGTCTCGTCAAACTGTATGCACCCAGGCCCCAGCCTCTTGCTCCAGTCTCTTCTCTGGCTGCCCCCAGCTTCTAGCACACTCTGAGACCGCATCCCTCTGGTCCTTGAAGACACTGGAATCACAGACCTTGGGGCTTCCCTGACCATCCTGCCCACTGGCCTCCATCAGCAAGCATGAACCCAGATCTGCCTTCGTGTTTCCTGTCAGTGGGCCATCAACTTCAATATTGCCCCCCAAGGAGTTCTCTCCAGCCCCCAGTCTCAGTCACACCACACCCTGCACCACTAGCACTGACTCAGATACTCAGTGTCAAGCCTGTACCAAGTTCTGAGATTATCTTCTTCATTTATTGATCTGCAAGATTAGTTCAGTTCCACCTCAGAGAGCAGATGGATAGCTCCACGCAGCTCACACATCAGTTCACTGCAGCTATCTGCACCTCCTCAAAGCCCTGTGCATGTCCAGGTAGCAGCCTCCCGCCTTGGGGTTAGGTCCTGGGAAGCACCTGCACACAGTAAGCTCTCTTTCTAGGTGTGTCAAGTGAGTGTACTGTTTGTGAGTTAGTTACTAATGGATTCTGTGAATGGAGTAGTGCATCCTTTTCTTTCTTTCTTTTTAATATTGTTTTTAACTGAAACTACTATAGCTCTTGCTCTGTTCATAATTACATTTAAAATTTGGTTAGATTGATGACAACTCATGGCATTTTGGCCGCCTTTGTTAATGAACTTCAATTTCATTCCAATAACTTACTTCACCCTGAGCTTGGCTTTGGTGACTCTGGGGTTTAAGCAGAATATTTATTTCCTCTAATGACTTAATAAATGCTCCCACCTTATACTTCCGTAGTATAATGTAAACAAGAGTAATAATCTCACATACATTTAAAAAAATACCTGTTATTTTTGTTTTAATTGCACTTGAATTAGTTTGCTTCAGTGATCTGCTCTAAGCCAGCACACATTTACTAGTGGAGTAAGATGAAAGAAGGGCCCTTCTTCATACACTCTAGATGCTCCACAGTATGTTTACAACAGCTCCTGTTCATGTACCTCAGGGTGTGGTGGAGAGCAAATACCCAAAGGCAGGTCTGCAGTCCCACTAGGTAACCTCATTGTCACTGTGGATGTGCATTGAAGTGCAAAGTATCCAAGGGAAATTTCTAAACTAAACTTCAAAGAGAATGTGGTCCCTTGAGTGAGCCTTGGACTAGATTTTCACATGGAAGCTAAGAGCCATGACTCAGAACAAAGGAGAAATAAGAACATAGACTACAGCTGCTCATAGGAAGTGGCCACTGGGGTGATACATAATAATGGAAGTTCCAGACTAGTGGGTCTCAGCCCCAAGAAGTGGAGTGCCCTGCTGAGGACGTCCTAAGCAGGAGGCTGTCTAGCATCTCCTATGGGAGGAGTGGGGTTGGCTCCATCTGAGGCAGAGTTAATTACTAAAATGTGATGTACGCTGTGCCAAGCTGGGAGGACTTCTGCTGAGGGCCATTTCACTGGCGTTTCCCTAGGTGGCATGTGCTGGATGCCTCTGCTCTCGACCCTTCAGTCTATGGGGACCCTAAGACGAGTGTTCAGACAGAACCCCTGCCTTTGGGAATTAGGAGTTCTGTGTGGGGACAGGTGTCCCTTCCATGCTCCTGTCCCACGCTACCCAGGTCCTTTCTCCTGCATCAGGGAAGCACGTTGTCCCCGTGACCCAGACTGCTTCACCACACCTGTCATCTGATGCTCTTTCTCTGGTCCCCATGGGTGTGTCTGTGATGGACCCAGCTCTGGGTGACTCTTCACACCCAGGCTGTGACCTGCTGTAGACAGAACCCTTGCTGCTGAGGAATGGCCTTAGTACAGTGTCAATCCTGGTGACACTGGCCACAGATGGGGGTGGCTTGGAATGGTGTCCCTACAGGTGTGTGTGTTTGAACACATTGTCCCTAGCTGGCAGCACTGTTTTATGGGGGTGGGGTGGGGGTAGACTGGGAGGTGGAGCTTGGCTGGAGATGTTGGTCACTGAGCGTCAAGGATTGTTTTCTGCCAGGTCTCTGCTGGCTGATATGCAGAAATGTGAGCAAGCAGACTCACAATTCTGCTTCTGAAAGCTGCGCCAGCTGCCATGCCTTCCTTACATAAAGACTGCACCCTTAACTGGTGAGCCCAGACAGTCGCTTCCTCCCTGAAGCTGCTGCGTGACAGGTTTGCCACAACAGTGAGTAAAATAGCTGATGCAGGCAGGGAGACCCATGGGATCTGGTAGATCTCCAGGGGGTGTGGCTGAAGGGTTCCTCTGTTCCAGCTCATAAACACATGTCATTCTGAGGCCTCCACATTGTGCACACCCTTCCAGTGGTCAAACTGCCTGGACAGACTCAGGGATAACCAATGCCTGAGGCCCTGGGAGACTGGAAGGTTGACAGAGGGAGATGTTCTTAGACATAATGACAAAGATGGTGTCTAGTGTTAGCAGTCTTAGATTCAACCCTAGTCAGAACCCTGGTAGAGCACTGATGTTTGGAGCTGACAGAGATTCTGGGCAGGTGAATGTGACATCCACAGGGCCGGGCCAGGCTGATTTCCTACATCATCAGCTACAGGCACTCTGCCCTGTCTCATCCTTCCCTTCCCCCATATTTGGAAGCTTTTTGGAGAAGCATAATTATGGCTGACATAGGCTCTTTTGCTTCTGCCATTCCTGGGCCCAGAGCAAGTGTCTGCATTTGAGCAAGCAAGCAGAAGAACAGATGCAGGGTCCCACACCTTAGCGCAGTGGTTCTCAGCCGTCCTCATGCTGTGACCCTTTAATACAGTTCCTCATGCTGTGGTGACCCCCCACCATAAAATTATCTCATTGCTACTTCATAACTGAATCAGGATATCTGATATGTGACCTCTCTTGGGGTCATGACCCACATGTTGAATTATCTCATTGCTACTTCATAACTGAGTCAGGATATCTGATATGTGACCTCTCTGGGGGTCATGACCCACATGTTGAGAACCACTGCCTAATAGCAGCCAGGCTGTAGCTACTTGTCTCAAGCTGGGCATTCATACTGTTTCTGCCTCTGCCCATCCCCTGCTACCTTGTCCTGGGTGGCCCTGTTCCCTGCCAGCCCCATTTCCATTGACTTCCCGCCGCTCATCCCTCACCAACACTGGGGTCTTTCCACAGAGATGAGCCACCCAGCCCCACGACTTCCTTGTGCATCCCTTCCCATCTGGCTGCACTATAGCTGCTTCTGCAAGGCCTGTCAGGTCAGGAGGGTGCAAGTTGAGCTGGCACAGCTTTGGCTGATGACTGTCCTTGACTGCTCCTGATGCTGACTTACTGATAAACACGTCACACTGCCCAACTGTGCCACCGAGCACGTCCCTGCTCCTCCTCCACCTTTGTTTCCAAAAGCCCATTGATGGGAGGTGGGTAGGGGCCTTGCTACTCAGGGAGGGCAGTCAGTTTCCCTCTGGAAATAAAATATTCACCCAAAGGAATAAAAACAGCCTTTTCTATCCTGGGATCCAAGTTTGCACCTGAGCGTTGCTCTATAGTTCTTATGTACATATACATACAACATGCACTTCTGCAGATTCTCTTTTATTTTACCCAGTGTTTGACACAAAATTTATTGTGTGTGTGTGTGTGTGTGTGTGTGTGTGTACACATGTGTGCCTGCGTGGTGCTCAGAGGACAACTGGTTCTCTCCTTTCATCAATGTAGGTTCTGAGGATTGAATCCCAGTTGCCATGCTTGGCATAAATACCTTCCAGCTGGGCTATCTTGCCATCCTTTAATAAAGCCTTTTAAACTTAATGTTGGGGACTAATGAGTTGGCTCAGGAGTTAAGAGCATTCACTGCTTTTCAGAAGACTTGGATTCAGTTTCAAGCACCCATCCTATATTTGAGGAGTGATCTGCAACCATTTTTAGTCCACTGAGTATAACTGCATGCACATGGTATACATAAGCTCATCCAGGCACACATAGAGACACATAAATAAATATAAATGTATCTTTTAAATTGCCTCTGGGCCTATGTCAGCAGGAATGATGCTTTGGTCTGCAGCTTCTGGGGTGTTCTACCTTGCTGTGGTCTCAGGAGAAGTCAGCCTGGCTGTGCTGTGCTTATTCAATGGTTCATCTGTTGCTGTGTCCCAGCAGGTGAGCCT